TATTTTGGCATTCTATGTCAAATGGAAGCTAGAGAGCAGATATAAATATGTTATCTTAATAAATGTGGAAGTGAAAGTAGAAGGTTAAGAGGTCAAATGGTACAGGTGTTAATACAGCAAACTGTTAACTTTAAAGAGATTACCAGTGCAGTAACAACAAAACCTTACATACAAATGAGGCAAATGCCTCATGCCAAATTGAAAATGAAATGAACAATCTACTTTTCTGCACAATGTGGGCTAATAAAGACAGCCATGCAGGGTACAATGAGGAAAATTTTGCCAGGACAAAGGCATTAGCCTGCTCTTTCTCAATTTCCAACACACAACGCCTCAGTTTATTGTCCCATCCCAATGACTTGACGCTTTTTTCAAGTCAACTCATCTTACCTACATCACTGAAAAATTGAAAAAATCAGTTGAAAAATCTTGACTTATGCCAGGATTTAACCGTAGACCTTCGGGTTAGCAACCAAGCGTCTTACTCACTGAGCCAGCGCGGCTCCCCGGCCTCATGCCGAAATGAATAAAAGATAGCTTGACTGGCAAGGTAATAAACACCCACTGGCAGTTTTGAAGAATATTTGGCAGTGCGGAAACAATCACTAGAATAAAATATTACACCTTTAATGATATACGTGATACAATTCTTTTGAACTTGTTTCTGTGATAATGAACAATATTTTAATCAATATGCAGCTAAAATTGCGCCTTATAAGGTGTTTATGGACTAAAAATTGATCTGGTTTTGAAGAACAAGGGCAATGTGAATTATTTTACGATATTTGGGTTTTTTACCTTATATGATAATAAACAATTTCACTAAATTTTGTTTAATTCCATCAAGAATTGTGTCTTCTAGAGTAGTGGAATTAAATATTTTTGGTTTTTCTGGTATTCAAAAGGGTTCAAATTAGTGCTCACACAGATAGTTGAATAGTTAAATCCGAATCCATTTTTGAGAATATTCGAATCGGGTTTTACCATGCTACTTGTTTCATTTACCAGAGCTGGATAATTGAGACGTTTCAAACCAGTAAATAAATGGCTGATTTTTCAAGCAATTTTACAATTGAAAATATCGTCGATTATTCGAAGGGAAATCGAATGATACTGTCAAATAGTTGAATGGTATAAATCACTATTCGTGTGAGCACTAATTCAAATAGTTCAAATAGAGAAAAAAAACAAAAAACGCTGGTACCAAGTTTGTAAGAATCGTGTCTTTGTGAGCCTTAAGCATCAAGAATATCAGCTAAGAGATCAAGGTCAAATAAGTGCATAAACCAACATAATCTTGATTCTCATGAAACTCATGATTAAATATGTTGGTTAATTAAATATAACCTAGTAAGTGTATGAATTATGATCATAGTTCTTGCAGTAAGAAATTTACAGGTTACACAACCATACATTGATCATTATAAATGAGAAACGAAATGGTGATTTAAATCTTATTTTTCTAGTTTCGATAAGGCTAATAATTTTGGATATTTTTTTCAAGACAGATGACCACATCATATGTCATTAATATCCCACCTTCATTTTTATGATGAATAGATACAACTTTTAACTGGTAATAACTGTTTAAGATGGGCAAAATCATTCAAATAAGAACTCTATGTTTAGTATGTTTATATTATCATTATGATAATGCATGTAAATTTTATCTAATTTTGATGAAAGCTATTAGACTAGTGCACCACACATTTGGTGGAGTGTGTGTTCAACAAGGTTTATTATGTACTCACTAAGAAACGTGGTTTGTTGAAGAGTGAGGTGATCAACAACTGAAATTGACGTCATTCACCCCGTACATACAGAAAATCGTGACTGAACATTTGGCCCCAAAATATGTGGAGTATGATGTTATATCCATTCATAATTAATTGTTGAAAAAGTTTCAAATGTAACCAAAAGTATCAACTATGTTTACAATAGAGTGAATAGACATATCTCATTCACTTAATAGTCAAGGATTAATTCAAACTGTACTGTTAGTTTGGTAGTTAATAAATCATGAGATCTGATCTAGTCTGCCATGTTATTTAACCACACAGGATCTCTATCCAGAATTATCAACTACCAAACCAACAACACAGAATCATTTAATCTGAACCAATCCAACTACCAACTAATACCTCATTTGTGATATCAGCATCTGCTAAAAGCAAAGGTTAACATGTCGTCTACCTGCATGAGTAGATAGTAGTTTGTCATTTGTACAGTCCTACATCTATATGTCATTTCTCCAAAATAAATAACACCTATATCAAACTAACTAGAAGCTTCAATGAACTAATACTCAATGGTTAATAAATATTTACTGACCAATTTGTTACTCTGGCTCTTTTTGCTCTGGTATCATCTGTTGAAGGGGATCTTGGTCGTCGTCTGGTTGGCATGGTTACACAATAATTTTCATCCGCTCTATAACTTGAGTCAAAATGACCTTCACCTAAGGTCTGAAAGAGAAAACGAATGCTTATTAATATTTGCTTACAAATATTAAAATGTTTTTGAAATGAACATTATAGCAACTAAATGAAAAGCAACTAAATGTTTCATTATATTGTACAAAACACCACACATTGAGAAGTCTGAAGCTCTGTTTCATAGATGACATTGGGGAAAATAAATTATTTTTTGGATCTATTAAATGTTTTTGCTCATTGCTATGTTACATTGCATGTGAAGGAAACTTACCAATGTATTGAACCTATCATGCAGAAAACCAGATAACTTTTCTTGATCCAGTGTACAGCCTTTACTTCTTCATTGCCAATCAGCCAAATGATAAAAGTCAATGTCAAGTCTAAAGGGAAATGAAAATACATTTAAAAGGGTTCAGGTACAAATAAAGTCTATACATTGCTATATGACATGACACAATATTCATATTGTATTGTCTTGATACTTTGTATTGTATCCAGAACAAGTGGTTGCCTAGCATACAACCACTTCCATCATGTATTTTTAGTGTATCAAGAGCAGTCACCAGTCTATGTCAAATCATACCAAAAATCTAATTCGTCAAAGATATTGTTGATTTAATCAAACACACAAAATTTAATAAAATTTTGACATAGCTGTCACTCCTGTCGCCTTCTCAAGCCACAAAAGTTTGATGTGTTTTTACTACGTCAAGGGCAATGACTCAAAAAAACATTCACTGAAAAATCGTCAAATTCAAACTTGACCAAATCCTCTCCAATACAAATGTTCACATGAAATTTCAATAAAATCAGTTTAAAACTGTAGCCTCTATTGAGTTCATAGGCAAATTATATTGTGTGCGTATAAAAATGAATTGAGAAAAAAAACTTCCATTAATATATTATAATTGCATAAAATTGAGCAACTCTATAAAGTAATGGTGCCAATTGATAACATCACATGTGAAAAATAATATCACTTGCTAAGAAGTACTAAGCAGTATTTTGTACAGAACCAGGAAAAGTTAATGTTACCATTCAACTGTAAATTATTATAGAACTATTGAAAATTGAAAACATATGAAGACTTTGTCATTTCAGTAAGTTCTTCGTCAATAATAATAGTGCATTGAATTATCATATGAGAGTTGAGAAAGTAGCAACTAATTGCCCTGGAAACTGTCACTACTGTCAGTGACTATGAGTCCTGACTCTGACAAGACAACGATGAAGTTGAAGAACATTTCAAAGCACAGATATTTAAAAAAAGTCCCCCATTACAGATGCTACTTTATCAATCAGAAAAAAAATACAAAAATCCTTCAAAATACATGGAATGAGACATCACAATAATGAAAAAATGAAACCGAAGCCATGCCGATAACTTTGACTGATTCAATGATTGAGTCAATAGTCGAATAGACAAAAAATGGCAGGTTCAAGAAGTTGTCAACAGTATTGAAATTTAATCATAACAGGTTGAGCAAATGACCTTCTTAAATGGTTTGGTAATTATAAAAGGACATTCTCGTTACGTTATTGTATATATGATGAATTTCGAATGAATGACCAGATAATTACGAAGAAAAGATTATTGAATTCATTGTCAGCAAACCTTAGAAACGTGAAGAACCGGATGTCGCCCTTGCGCACCTACCTTTGACACATAGTCCGAAACATTCTACTTTTGAACAGTTCATATTCATTAATCCGAAAATAAATCTTAAAAGATTACGAGATAATTTACTTCACATTTCACAATAATACCACGCCCTGAGCAATGAGCAGCCTTTAAATAGGTTTAATTTATTATAAATATCAGACATACATGTTAGGAACATTTTCATCAACGTTAAAACAAGTTAAATTGAAAGTAGAAAATTAGACAACCGGATGTTATTTCTCGATATATCAGCCTTTCCCATTGGTCTGCTTCTAAAGTCTCGATCATCATGATATCAATTGTAATGAAATTGAATATCACTACATTTTCACAGAAAGTGACGAATTTGTGAATTAAATGTGGTTTATATCAAATATCATTCAAGATTGGTACTCTTTATACAATGACTTTAAGTTGACTGAAGAATACTACACAGATATTGATTCTTGCATGAGCAGTCCTGTAAAACAGTGCTACTGATATTGACCTACCTGATTGGTTTTTATTTCAGCTAATCAAATACCATGACACAAAGTTGTTGTAGTTGCAGGCAAATTCCTGAGACAGGAAGATTAAGAAAATGATCAGTAACTTAGTAAGGACTTAGGCTAATCAACATAACTAACATTAAAGGCCTTTGAATTGATCTTGTGAAAAACGATGCTTAATATGCCCTAATAGTCATCTTTGAAGTGGTAAATGTAATTGTGCAAATGTCAATGGATAGTTAATAAAATCATGACAGGATACTAATCTAATAGCTAAAATTTAGCCTAAATAGGCAACTCACTGCCACTGACCAACAGCCCTACAAATGTTTGTAAGGTGCATAACTTGCTTCATTCTTTATATTTCCTTTCACTTTCAGATGATATGAAGTAGACATTTGGTCATTGAACAAGATGCCTGGTGATTCGAGAAAACAATTTCTCCTTGCAACTGCTGCAAATTATTTCAGTTTGCCAATAAATGATAATGTATTAGGAAGTCTACAGAATTCATCAGCACTCAATAGCTTCCTTGATGATGGCAACTGTTCGGTTTTATCGGCTTCTAAAGATAATAAATCTGGACAGAGTTTCCAACTTTCTAACAAGGTATAATGTGTTTAAATTAAAATGACGTATTTTGAAAATGATTGAGACTAGTGTTGTTTGCTAATTATATTAATTAGCTCAAAGCTGATACAAGACCAATATTTCTTATTCGTGTTGATTTTTCACAATAGCCTTGGACTAAAAGGGAAATTTTGATTCAAATCAGCTATTAGATCATTGATTATGGGTTACAATTTTTTGATCATATTTCTGTTTAAATGATGATTCTTTTGTTACAGGTTGAATCAGGAGAAAGTAAAGATAATGTGATAGTTTTCTTTAAAACTAAACCAGACGTACTGAATCCTGACAATATTCATAAAAATGTCATTGTATCATCCATGGTAGACAGTCCTTTGAGTACCCTCTACCATGCGGTTCAGAAAGTCTACGCTCCTATTTTATTAGAAGATGGTAGATGGAGTCGAGGACTAGACCCAAAATTACAGAGTTTGTTAAGTGAATTGGAAGCAGGATTAGGAAGTACTATCCGAAGAACTGATCCTTCATTCCGTGGAAAAGATGGATCCGAAGACAATCTTGGAAGTGAGTACTCACTTTTGATATTGCTTTCAGAGTATTACTTGACCCAATCATCAAAAAGTGCATGCAGTTCAGATAACTATTCATCAGAACATTTGGTTTCCTATACATCAAAATTCTTTCAATGAAATATTTGAAAAAAATTAAACTGATTGCAATTTATTTGCGAGAAATGAAGCCCAGATTTGGAGAAGTAGTTTGAATGTTGTTCCAAGAAGTAGGGTAGTCAGTGTAGGTGCATGTTTTTATAACATCTTGCAATCCAACTTTTGATATCTAATTTGACAATGTCTGTGAAGGAATTTAGGAATTAAAAGATTTTTTAGAAATGATATATTTAACATTTTCTTTTAGATATTCTATCTCCTATGGATGAGTTCAACTATTGGTCTGATGTGGCTCACAGTGGAAGAGGTGAAAGTAAAGATAGAGCTCAGTGTTTTCTGGATCTCTTTAAACCAATCTCTAAAGATTATGGTGGATTGGAGACCATGCCATTTCAAGATGTGATGGAATTGGTGGAGATAACTCAAGATACATTAGATGATATCTGGAAGCAGGGAGATTATGACCCATCCTACCCTGAAAATAGAATGAAACATTTGATGGATGTTATAGGTTTGTATCATTTATGGATTTATTTTAACAATCCATGAAATTATATATTATATGTAACTCAGCAGAATGATTGCTATAAATTGATACTTGAAAAATCCTTGTAGTCAGTTTTGTAACATCAATTATTTAGAATTTTTCTCTCCATTTCTAGCTGTTCTTGTAATGAAATTAAAATCAGAACAGTGGAACTGTCTTGCTTTTTATCTTTAAAAACTCTAAAATCATTGGTGAGTAATAGTTCTGACCTGCATGGTTTTTACTTCAGGTGGTTCATTGGCTAGATATTGTCAGAAGAAACTGTCAGAAGAAGATTTATGGAATGGAGTATTTAGTCCAATAAGAGAAGCCTTGAGATCTGGTTTAACTATCTGTGAACGTTGGGTATCAGTTTGTGAGACTCTTACTCTTCAGTTCTGGAGGCGTTATGCTCCTCATTCATGGAAGGGCGAGAAGTTTGTGCCTGAAAATATCAAAAAACTTGGTGAGAGATTGGAAGAGGTAAGAATTGATTATGGTTACAAGTCAATATAATTAGAATTAGATTATGATTTTAAGAGGAATTATGAGATAGCAAAACCAAATAGGCTGTCATATTTGTCCACTTTGGGTTTCACCATCCAAAAATTGGTCGTTGTTATTAAGTGGTCCTTCATGACATGATTGGTTGAAAATAATGTCATTAGAATGAGAAACATAGAGAACATAATAGATTACAATGGAGACAAAAGATATTAAAAATACCTGTGTTGTTCATAATGGATGATCTTTTGTTACATACTAGACTTTATTTATTGGTGAATCAGTAATGGTTTGATTTTTTGAGGATGGTCTTTAACCCCAGTTCTTTAAAGCATATAATGATATAATTGTTGTTTAATTGGTTTAAATCCTAGTCAATCTGAAAACCTTGAATATGTTTTCCAGTCAATCCAGTATTGAATGGATTTGGATAAGGACTAGCTTGTAGATAAAATCTTTAAAGACATAAGTTGTCATAAAGTAAGATTATAACTATTTATAATGATTATAATGTAATGGCTACTTGGGGTCAAATGTAAAATTTCTCAGTTAATCCAAATTAATGTATGAAATTTATATTTTCTAGATACTATCATTGAGGACTGTTCATGAGCATATTCTAAGATTATTATCATCATCTGAACAGAAAGATCTTCAAGTAACTGATGCTTTTACACCCTTCCTGGGTCTAAATCCCTTACAGTACAATCCATATACCAAACCATTATGGGATGCTGCTGTAGCTCAATATGAAAGAGCCATGGGTCCTGCCGAACAGAAAATAGCAGCTAAATTAAGAGGACAGTTTAGAGGACTAGATGGTTATCCTCAACAGGTAATCTTATCTAAACAACTTAAGAGTTTTGGTTAATCTTTTACAGTTTTTATACTTTTGATTCACATAAATTTAAATGAATTCTTGCAAAGATTTAGAAGTGACTTTTCTGTATTGTGCAGATGTCTTTAGTTTCGCAAATATTGAATATTTATGTTCTCATTTTCAGCTACTGAGAGAGTTCCAGAGATATAAAGCTTTGATTAAAAGACCCACAATTAGAAGAGAGATGGCTTCAGAGAGGTAAGGAGTTAATGTTTTCCTGTGAGAATATTTAAAGATTCAATGTGGTGTATATTTATGTTTTTTGTAAATGGATATTTTGTTTTCCTAAATGATATAAAAGCTCAATTTAGCTATCCATAGAACTATAAACCTAGTCAAGTTTGTTTGAGATTCTGATTTCAATTCAACAAATGATATCTTATTTGTTCTATTTTTTGCATATACATGTATGTCATGCTATTTTCCTATGTTTTGACATGATTTGTAAAAAAGTTATTTATCTTTTCAGAGAAACTCTGTTAGGACAACTGACAGTCTATGTTAGACAGATTAGTGAGGATTTTAATGCTCGTATTGGAGGACGTGGTGGGAAATCTATACCAAAAGGCAAAAATCTGCCAGATATTGTTAATAACATAATATATGTTAGACAACTTGAAGCCAAGGTTAATTTGAAAATTACATTGACAAATTGTCTTTTCTCTGACTCTGCCATTTTCTAAGCAATTAAGTTCATCAACAAATTTTTTGTATTACATTTTGTTGTCTTATCTGGAGGTTAGGGTTGGATGTACCTCACACCACATTGATTTTTTTGAAAACTTCTATTAGAGCATTTTTGCACCATATTTCTTATTTCCTGGACATGCAATATTAAGGCAGGGTATAATCCAGTGGAAAGTGAAATTTCTACTTTGAGGTTTATTTGAAGGGATTATTTCCTTTTTGTTGAGTTTTCCTGTACTCCTGGAGATTATTAACACATGTTCTAGGTCCAAATCCACTCTCTAAAATACTAACTGTTGCCCTTTTAGAATTATTGAAATTTTGTCTGTCTTTTGATAGATTGAAGAAACTAACTTAGTAGCTGAAATGTTATTAGGAGATTTAACAGGATTCCAGAAGTTTAGAAAGAGTGCCTCAGACCTGTCAGAAGAGTTACAATCCTGGAGACGTGATCAGTTTGATGAATGGTCCCGTGATATGCAATCCATGATTGATGACCCTAAACAACCTATCAGGTAATTTAACTTTTCGTGCCTGCATCTGTGAAAAAAAAAATTAGAAATTATATCAAACTCAAACAAGGAAGGAAAAGATTAGATATGGAGTCTGATAAGATCAGATCAACTATCTTACAGCATGATAGGAAAACAAGCCTTGTTACATTAAAAAACTTTGTCCAAGCTAATGATTTTCCCCTAAACATGTTATTTGTTATTGTAGCTTAGAGACAAATGGTAGACTAATGGAACTAAATCATAAAGATGGTAAACTACGAGTCAACTATAGTGAAAGACTAGTTACGTTGTTAAGGGAAGTTAGACAACTCTCAGCTATAGGATTTGCTGTTTCAGCTAAAATACAACATGTAGCTAATGTCGGTCAGAAATTTTATCGACATGGGGTGGTTCTTAAACAGGTAAAAATTTGTTTTAATATTTGTTTTGCTGGAATAGCTGAGATTGGTGAACTCATGAAACAAAGTGGCATATTTTACTTTAGTTTTGATGGTTCATGTTGTATATATCTCTAACTTTCTTGATAAAGTTGAATTCTATTCTCTCATTCCTACATTATGCTGTTTTATATATTGATAGGTGGCCCATTTCTATAACACTATAGATAATCAGATGATAGCTAGCCAACAAGCTATGATGCTGGATTCAGCCATGGCTTTTGAAAAACTGGTGAAAAATCCAAAATCTGGTAAGTGCAGATTTTAAAACTGTATTAAAGAAAGGTCACATTGCTATAATCAAATCATTATCTGTTGGTACATCAATTCAATTTTTTTATTTGAGAAACCGTAGCGGCTTAACTGGACTTTTTTGATTGTTTTATCTCATTATTATTGAAATCATTTGCTTTTGTTGCATGATACTAGTATGGCTGAGATGATTGGTGGATGATACATGACAATTTGAGAGGTATTGATTTCTGAGTTTGACCATCTCATAATTTGTTATTTTTGAAATATGAAATCTATGTTGTAGGAAGTAAAGCCAAAGGTGATGATGTACAAGTTACATGGGATAATCCAGAAGAATTAGAAAGTTATATTAAAAAGTTACAAGCTGCAGCCGACAGACTTACAACTGAAAACAGACGTCTTAGAAAATCTCATTTTGTTGTTTCTGATAAGGTTTGATCTGAAATTTTTAAATAGAAAGATCTGAAAGATTTAGTTTAAGTTAAACATATATTAAAATCTAATACAATGTACAGTTTTGATGTGTTTGATCGAAAATCTGTTCAAGATGTTTGATTTCTATTCTCAAATAGACTGGTCAAGTTGGTTGATTTAAAGAGAGCTATTGTCAAGTGTTGATTCCGAAGCAACGCACACCAATCACACTTGACAGGCTGGTATTTATTTATTTTGTAGGTTCAACAACTGATGGGTATTGATCTACTGAGACATCAGTCTAAATGGAAAGATGGTTTAATGGAAATCAGACAACTGATGGCTAATCTTGTTCAACAAGTAAGATTTTCTGGGTTTTGTTTTGGTTTTGCTGTGTATGAAAATCTAGTACAAAAGACATAATTGCAAAAGGAATAAATCCATTAAAATGTATATAAATTTTGTATTTAATGGTCCTGAAAATGAACAACAAAAATCTCTCTACAATTGCTTTACATTTCAGAACATTTTTTTCCTTTCGAAACGGTTCATTTAACTTGATGATTTGTTTATAGGGATTTTCAGCTGATAATATGAGACCATGGAAACTACATTGGGATCATCAGTTGTATAAAGCCCTAGAACATCAATATCAGATGGGATTAGAAGCTCTTAATGAAAATCTACCTGAGATCAGAGTGGAACTTACATACAGGTAAACATTAATAATTCATGATCACTTACAGGAATCTTGATAGTGGTATTTATAATTGAAACATTGTTCAACAAGAATTTTTGATCACTAGTTTAAACAATATTTATTTTTGACAGGATAGACCGAAGAATTGTTCAGGCTAAAATTAAGAATGTTTTTACATTGTCTAATAATGGCATTTAATGTGTAATTGATGATAAATGAGATTTACCTCTTTGATAAGAAATCATCTCATGCTGTCAACATAATTTTCCGTTATAACATCTTCTTTGATGTAATAAGTATAATGATGTATGCATTTGAGCTTACCTCATTTCAACTTGATGAATTCATTCTCTTTCATTGACAGACAACAGAGACTACAATTCCGTCCACCATTTGAAGAAATTAAAGCTAAATATTATCGTGAAATGAAGAAGTTTATATCTATACCTAATAATTTTCGTGGTGTAACAGAAACCACAGGTAGTGTGATCTACACAGCTATTATAGATAGGAATGCTGAAGGTTTTATTACTTGTTATAAGAAGGGAAATCAACTATTTGATAGACTTGGTTCTGTTATACATCAATTCAAGGTTTGTTGAATATTATTGGTACACAGATATACAGGATATCCTCATGACATTGTCTTTATAACAATAATTTATGAAATATTCAGTATGATGCACTCAACTGTAATTTTAGTCTGTCATATGATATAATAGACCTTCTCCTGGAGAAAATGATATCTTAAAAATAAAAAAAAAGTTAGATTGGCATTGTTCAAGGTTGTGGTTACTGTTACATTGTTGTCATTCAAAAATATTGTATAGTTCTATCATACTGTTTTGAATTCAATTGCATTGAACCATAGAATCTTTAGGTTATGTTTTCTTATAAAACTGATTATTTTTTTCAGGACTGGATTATATTAGGATCTTTAGATCTAGATAAGTTTGTTGAAGATAATTTGACTGATATCCATCAGTGGGAAAAGAATTTTAAAGCTCTCAAAGTACGAGGAAGAGATGCTGAAAAACTACCAAGGTAAATTGCATTGATTGCATTCTTTTGGGTTCTTGCCTTTAAAATCAATGGCTGAAAATTGTGCAATATATTTTGACATCATACAATCTGATTGAAATGCAGATCTCAGTGTTTTGTTTTTTTTTTTTTCTGCAGTTAACTCCAGTTGTCATCCATGATTTGTTGTTGTAATGCATGTCCTATTCCTGCTGCACTGCCAGATTAAAACAAGAAAAATATTGTATATTTAGACATAGTATTTTCTAACAGAAGAAAATTTTAATGTAATTTGATTATACTAAGTGCTTAAATTTATTTAGAAATTTCTTTTTTCCAGTCAAATCAAAGTAGATTGTATAACAGTAAATACAACACCAGTTAAAGCTGTTATTGATGACCATATACAGAGATTATTTGATGCTCTGTTAAACTCTCTACGTCGTTCTATTGTATCAGAAGTTGGTAGTATTGATACTTTCCTCAATACAGCCATGGAAACTCTGTCTAAACGACCACAGACAGTTGAAGAAATTGGTGAAGCTAATGCTAAACATGCTGAATTTAATGCCACTAAAAAAGAGGTAGCTTTTTCTCATGAGTCATGATACATTACCTCTTTGTTCATTATTTCTTCAGAGTTATCAAGTTTTACATTTATTTCTGTTTTTTAATTGAAATGATTGTCTTTTGCTTCATATTTAGAGAGTGAATGAAATGAAAGGTGCATATAGTCATTTAGTGCAAACGTCCAAAGTTGTGGGTTACATATCTCTATCTCAAATTTGAAATTTTCGACAGCCCATTGCTCTTTTTTTTTCAATGTACTACTATTGTACATTTATTACTTCATTTGGTGCATTTTTGTTGTAGATCCAACCATTATTTCAAAAAGCAGAAGCTAAGAATAAGTTATTACGATCTGTAGCTGGTGGAGGTGTTGAAACTATCAGTCAGTTACAGGGCCGCTGGGATAAATTTGAATTAATGATGGAATCACATCAACTTATGGTGAAAGAACAGGTTTGATCCTTTTGTACTTTTTCAGTAAATATTCAAACATGACATTTGGGTTTCAAATTATTTTTGGGTGGCTGACAAAATCTGCCTGAAAACACGCTGACCTTGATCAGACAAAGTTGCGATTTTCATTTGTTACTTTGTAAAACTTTGGTTCTGTTCACATCTGCAAAATGATCATCTCATTGATAATAAACCTAATACTTGTTTTGATCTGCTGTCTGTAGGTTGAGGTGATGAAGAAGAATGTTGACTCTAGAGTTAAAACTTATCATCAAGACATAGAGAAGTTTTCAGCTCGCTGGCATCAGTTAAAACCTGGAGATGATGCTCTAGATGGAGACAAAGCTAAATGTGATCATGCTATGAATGTTATTAAAGAAAAACGTGAAGAATTTGCTGAATTGGAAGCAACCAGAGCTACACTTCTGTAAGTAAAAGTCTTGTGAATCCTATGTTACAAACCGCTTGGCTATGTCATTTTCTAGATTTTTTTAAATGTTTTTAAAACCTTGTATGATTCACCTTTCTCTCTCATTTCACCTGTAAATGAGTGAACCTCTCAGTAGACATCACTGCCAAGAAGGGTGTCCCAGAAATGTTGTTGTGATCAAATATTGCATAGTTGAAAGTTTAATTTCATGTCTTGTTTTTTTTAGTTCTGACTGTCAACATTTTGGACTAGAAGAGCCTGATTTTGGTGCTGTAGAAGAATTAAGAAATGATATTAAGAATTATGAATCTATGTGGGGACTGTATGAAAACTTCAATAATGGATTACAAGAATTAGCAAAGGAAGACTGGATCTCCTTTAGGTTTGATATATTTTAAATTTATATTAGCATTCTCAGTATTAACAAGGGTACATTCACTTCCGCTAATTTGCAATGTTTGGTGAAGATGATAAAAGATAAAGAGTCAGGATGAAGTTTCCAACTTTCAGAAAATATGGTGTAATTCCACTTGAATTTTGATATTTATTTTCAGATCTAAAGCCTATCTATTTGAAGAATTTCTAGGAGGCTGGTATGAAAAATTGAAGAATGAAGAAACAACAACAATGACTGTTAAACTTCATAAAGATATTGAAAAATATAAGGTCTGAATCGTGGTTTTTGAATTGTGATTTTTAATGATGGTCTTTCAAATCAGCAAATATATTTAAGAGGTTGCAATTCACATTTTTTGCTTTGTAACTTTTTACTTTCATTGTGGCTGTTCACTTATTTTATAAAGAACAACGTTAAAATGGTTTTAAATCTTTATCTGTTGAATTTCCCAGGCCTTTGTCTATTCTTCCAAGGGAAATAGCTCTTTCTATGTAATTGATTTTAAAGACCACAAATATACAATATTACACATTAAGAACTTTTGAAGTAATTTTTTGTAAGACCATTTTTTTCAAGCTTATTTTTAATTATTGCCATTGTATATTATTGTAGACTGTGTTACCAGTATTAAAATGGGTACGAGGTGAACCTTTATCACAAGATCATTGGTTAGAATTGTTCCGTCTGTTACACATGCCTAAAGGTACAACGTTAGAGAAATTGAATTTCGGACAGATCATAGCAGTCAGTGACCAAATTATTATTAATGCTGATGCTTTAAAGGTAACATTTAAGTTTTTTTTGTACTAAGGTTAAATTATATTCAGATTTCGTCTATGTTTTGATTATAAAATTTATCGTCTGAACAGTTCATCTGGAAGCAAAGCAATCAAGGTGGCCAAACATTTTTGGGTACTTTTAGATACAAAAAAGTTTTAAGATGTTCGATACCCTACACACTATTACTACTCTTGTTTCAGGAATTGAATCAAAGAGCACAAGGGGAAGTAACTATCAGAGAAGCTATAAGAGAATTGGAGTTGTGGGGAGCAGACGCCACATTCTCTCTCACTGAATATGAAGACAGCAATAAAAATAACATCATGTTGATTAAAGATTGGAAGGACCTTGTAAATCAGGTGTGTATGATTGAATCTTCAATAGAATCTTCAATTTGAAGCATTGTGTTTCCACTTGTTTGACAAAAAGGTCTGTGTATCCAACAAACCTAGTTTCACAGTGGACAGTCCATATGAACTAAACATTATTTTCCAGCTTTGAATAGAGGTAGCCTGGACATGTCTTAGGTTTTGAATGAAAGTTAGACAAGACATCCTTCATGCTGGAATGTTTTATGCCATCAGAATAATTTGGTGTTGTAGGTTGGAGACAATCAAAGTTTGTTACAGTCATTGAAAGATTCACCATATTTTAAAAGTTTTGAAGATAAGGCCTCAGTTTGGGAACAACGTTTGGCTGATTTAGATGAATATCTTCACAACCTGAATCAAATTCAACGTAAATGGGTTTATTTAGAACCTATATTTGGACGTGGAGCTCTACCTAAAGAACAGGGAAGATTTAAACGTGTTGATGATGACTTTAGGTAAGTCTTGGTTCAAGGTGATTTATTCTGTTGTCTGCTTTAGGAACTTTGAAGTCTATCATAGATTTTTATTTGACTTATTTGTCAGTAATAATTGATTGAATCTCTGAATAATTAGCTAGATCTAAAAATCTTACTTGTTTAAACATATTTTGTTATCTTTTTAGATCTATTATGCAAGATGTCCGACGTGATACTAGAGTTCTATCTCTAGTTAATCAGTCAGGGCTACGTAATTTATTATCTACCATGTTAGATCAGCTACAGAGATGTCAAAAATCACTTAATGAATTCTTAGAGGTAAGCAATGTTGAATTGATACTCTAATAACTACTTTTCTAACAGGATAAGAGAAGCTGGTTCATGAAAAAACATGGTTTGATTGCAAAAATCATAGAGGTCAAACATGTGTCAACATGTTTCAGAGGAATTTTATCCTCCACATATAAAGTAACTGTACTCTACAATTATTGGGTCATGAATTTACCTTTAACATATTTCAGGAAAAGCGATCATTATTTCCACGATTTTATTTTATTGGTGATGATGATTTACTGGAGATTTTGGGTCAGTCAACAAACCCCAATGTTATACAAACACATCTGAAGAAATTATTTGCTGGGATACATAGTGTAGAGTTTGATGAAGCTTCTGAACATATACTAGCTATGAAATCCTTAGATGGTGAGGTTGTACCATTGATCAGAAAAATTAAAATTGTGCCAGAAGTCGAGGTTAGTTTGGAACATTTTCAGGTTTCCTGTGTTTTGAAATCAATAATAGCTACAAAATACACAAGTTTGATAGAAATATAGGTAAATGCTTCAGTCTGTTAGGACAGGAAGTGGAGTTGAAGTCCCTAGTAAACAGTAAATAAGCAATTGCATCATTTTTAGTTTGCCTTGGCATTTTGTCCCCTTCAATGACTGACAGGAGGAAACTAGTTAGAATTATGCTAAGTATTTAACAGGATTTTCATTGAATGTCATTTGATAATTTTTATTACAGAGTTGGCTTAGCAAGCTTGCAGATGAGATGAAGGATACATTAAAAGAATTACTTTTGAACTGTCTGAAAGATGCCAAGTCAAGTCGTGGTGGTCTGGATCCCAACAAATATCCATCACAGGTATTGTTCTTGTCTTACTATACCAGCGGACATAGAATATCTGTTTCTGATACTGATACTAATTTAAACTTGGAGAAATAGAGAAACATGAGAAAGAAATTTTCAATGTTAAGAAAGATCTGAAGTGTTTGATCTCTGTGAGGTAATGATGGCTAGAAATTCCATCCAATGGGCAAACTATATATATTTATTTTATGATATTATTTAAATTTCACTGTCTAAGGATTATTACCATGAACTTATTTCTCCTGTTTATGCCAGGTTCTTTCATATAATGTTAGTCTTTACTCTGGATATTTCAGAAAATAACTTTCTCTTACAGATTCTGTGTCTGGCTGAAGCAATCCGATTTACCCAGAATTGTGAAGAAGCCATACAGAGTAATAATCTACGTGTTTATCTACAAGAACTAGAAGGTCAACTTGAATCCTATACCAGTGTAGACATGTCTGCAGGACAAGATGTGGAGGCTAAAGTTTTAGAATTAAAACTCAAGGCTCTGATATTAGATACTATACATTCTATTGATGTTGTAAGAGAATTAATGACAGCTAATATTCGTAAAACTTCAGAATGGCTGTGGATGAAACAATTGAGGTAAGTCTAAACTAGGAAGGATTTACTTTACTGATTATTTTATCTTGGATGTCTTGGGTTTATTATCTTCATTTGTGGATTTTAGGTCTGACAACAATTAATTTTTGATTTTATCTGCAAATTTGAAATTTTTGAATTGAAATTTGAGGCTCTGATATTAGACACTATACGGGCTATTGATGCTGTATGAGTGCTTGTCTACTCTGGTTTTGACCAAATTATATATAAATAAAACATATGTATGCTAAGAAATTCTTTTGTCCAATTATGAAAATAATCATTATTTTTTAATTATTTAGAGTTAACATGAGAAAAGATGGTGTATGTGTATTAAGAATGGTAGATGCTGAGTTTGAGTATACCTATGAATATCAAGGCAATGCTCAGAAATTAGTTCACACCCCACTTACAGACAAATGTTACCTTACACTCACTCAAGGTAATCATATAGAAATCTTTGGTTAATCTTTGGTTATAGAAAATGAGTCAAGACCACTGGCCATAAGGGCTATTTATTTACTTTGCTGGTAGTCAAATGTCTGTTTCTGGCAAGGATCTTTCGAACATCAAGCAAAGGATGGATAGATATGTCAAAATCCATACCTTGGTAGAACTGAATGAACTCAGTGTTGTCACTAACAGAGTATGACTGTATATTAGGTTACCGACTCAATTTTGGTTGAAAACGGTTTTCAAGGAACTCTATTATCTTACTACATGTCTGTTTCCAGGTATGCATATGGGATTAGGAGGTAATCCTTATGGACCAGCTGGTACTGGTAAAACAGAATCAGTTAAAGCTATGGGTGGTTTATTTGGAAGACAAGTTTTGGTTTTTAACTGTGATGAGGTAAGAGTTTGACGATTTCTCAAGATATTTTACAATTTAAAACCAGTTGATGCCATGAATATATCACAAATAAAAAAAGATTCATGCTTTTAGTTATTAATATTCATATATTTGATTTAAATGGAATTGGCACCATATTTGAAGAAAATATTTTGTTTATATCTTCTTGCTATGTTACTAACAATTAAAATTTTTGATATCTATAGGGAATTGATGTGAAGTCAATGGGTCGAATATTTATTGGTTTAGTAAAATGTGGAGCCTGGGGATGTTTTGATGAATTTAATCGGCTTGAAGAAGCTGTATTATCAGCTGTTTCTATGCAGATTCAAGTCATACAAGATGCTATTAAAAATAAAGTCAGCAGAATTGATCTCCTTGGAAAAAATGTATGTCATGTATTTCTCACACCATGATACCTCATATAAAAAAATGAAGAAAAAACACATTTAACATAACATTTTTGAACTATCAAAACAAAAACACTAAAGAAAGAAATAATGAACAATAGTTTGCGAATCACTTTAAGGTTTATTGCTTGTAAATAAGTAATGTATGAATGTTTTGGTAGTCTTAAGACAAGCTTATTCCTTTGAAACTGTTATATACAAATGCAGATTAAAACTGATCTAAAATCGAAACTAAGCCTTGAATCCATAAATCTGTGAGACTTGGTAGGTCTAATTTACGAATTACATGGCTGATTTTGTGAAATAATGTATCTCTTTTTTCTGATAGCAAGAATAAATTGTTCAATGAACCTGTACTATTTTTAGATTGATATCAACCATAACTCTGGTATATTTATAACAATGAATCCAGCTGGTAAAGGCTATGGAGGAAGACAGAAGTTACCTGATAATTTAAAACAACTATTTAGACCTGTGGCCATGTCAAAACCAGATAATGAACAAATTGCTGAAGTTATTCTCTTCTCAGAAGGTTTTAAACAAGCTAAAAGTGTTGGCAGTAAACTGGTTGCTATCTTTAACTTGTCAAGGTATGTTTCAAATTCAATAATAAACAATCTTGTTCATTTGCTCTAATTTTGAAAATGGCTGTAACAATAATGGATTTATCATCTATTTTTGACACAATCATAGTCTAATATTTATTGAAATTCCTGAGTATCCTTTTTCTTTTGAAAATGTTATTCTTAGCCACAGTCCAGTAGACTACTGTCATTAGATCTCTTTCTAGTTCATGTTTATCTCTGTCTATTGTCTATGCTCTCATTGTTTTAAAGCTTCTTATGGTTTGACTAGTTAATTTATATTTGCTGCAGTTTTATGAATTTTTATGGAAATTCAGTCTTTTGATTTTTTTTTACTTTAATATAGAGAGTTACTGACCCCTCAACAACATTATGATTGGGGTTTGAGAGCTTTAAAAACAGTACTTCGAGGCTGTGGTAATCTCTTACAGACTACAAAGAAAGCTTTGAATGGAGGTCAGTATTTAGGATTATTGCTTTATAGATTATTAAGAGAGTAATTTGCATTTCAGAATATCTCAAATTATATATATTGGCTTTATCTGTATCATACATCCATATTACACCAGTCTGCAATGAAATGTTCCATTCAGGCAGAAAAAATGTGTCCAATAACAATGCCACTAGGTTAAATAGTGACTGATTTCTGTGGGAAAAGATGAAAGTTGGTTTTATGACATCTGTAGTAAATTGTTCTCTGAATTACATTATCCAAATTCTCTGATAGTCAAATGATTATATAATAAACATAATTTTACCATTGAATTGATTTATTTTGATGTTTATATTTTCTCAGGTAAAGTTGATGGTAAGACAGAAGCCAAGTTAGTGGTACAAGCTTTACGTATTAATACACTATCTAAACTAACATTCTCTGATGGTATCAGGTTTGACTCATTATTACGTGATGTGTTTCCTGGTATTGAATTTAAAGATATAGAATATGAAGATCTAGCAGAAGCTATGAGAGAAGTTTGTAAAGAGACCAATCTTAGTATCAATGAGAAACAGGTATTTATGTTTATATTCTTGATAGAGACTTTCAAAGATAGCTATTCTGTCCTGTCTTAACACATTAGTCTTGTTTAATTCTAGAGTCAATTCTTTGAATAGAATTCTCCAAAGTAATACTATCAAAAGGGTATCAACATTTCTTAAAGAGGTGTATAGTTAGTTGTCCATTTAATTGATTTGAAAAGCAATAAATAAAACGCTATGAATGAACCATACAGAAACAAATCATAATGCTTGATAAATTGTTTAAGTTGAAATAATTTGATCTTTCCATGATAGATAAAGAAAGCTCTAGAGTTATATGAACAGTTACGACAGAGAATGGGTGTCGTGGTAGTTGGACCATCAGGATCAGGAAAGACAACTCTATGGAGAATGTTACGTCAGGCTTTGAATAAGAGAGGTCAAGTTGTTAAACAATATGTAATGAATCCTAAAGCTATGCCAAGAACTCAGGTATATCTTTGAAATTCTGATTAGACTATAGAGAATCTAAGAAGTACCATATGATGATATGTTTGTTTCAGAGATTATATAGATTATGGATTCTTTTGACATGCTTCAATAAGATAATTTTCCACCTGTAATGTTTGGGAATTTAATAATTCATCAAATTTATTGTAGTTATTGGGTCATATTGATATGGATACTAGAGAATGGACTGATGGTGTATTGACATACAGTGCTAGACAAGTTATTAAAGAGCCACAAGGTAATGAATGTGCCTGACACAATCCTTGTTTGGTTATCAAGTACATGGATTCGAAATTGACGAACTCGAAATATTAAACATGTTAATGAGTACCCACAACTTAATATAGTCATAGATAGGTTCTATAAATTCAATATCCAATATCTTTTAGAAAGATTTTCCCGCATTTGAGAAAATGTACTTGAACCTCCAATGTACTCCATCCCTTCATCATGTGATATATGTATATTGTAGAAGTACAGTCATGGATTGTATGTGATGGTGATATAGACCCTGAATGGATTGAATCATTAAACTCTGTATTAGATGATAATAGATTATTAACCATGCCATCTGGAGAAAGAATACAGTTTGGACCCAATGTTAACTTCCTGTTTGAAACACATGATTTAAGTTGTGCATCACCAGCTACTATTTCTAGAATGGGAATGATATTCTTGAGGTTTGTTAGTGTTAAATACATGCTACTCCAGCAATTTTTTAGAAGCACACTAGCAGGTCCATAGTTTGACAGAAATCATTATTGTTAATTTTGTCAAATTTATATATTAACCCCAGTCATTGATTTTTCTTTAGAAATTTAATAGCACATACCAAATTGAGACTGTGAAATTTCTGTGAAATATGACAGCTATTAACATAAGTCTTGCAATTTGTAATTTATGAATATGATATTTTGTAGTGATGAAGATGTAGATGTTAAAGCTCTAGTTAAATCTTGGTTAAGTACTCAGCCAGAATCAGAACAACATTTAATATCAGGATGGATTGAAGACTATTTCTATAGAGCTCTAGATTGGGTTTTAAAACAGGTATTTTTGTTAGATAATTCTATTCAACCATGAATATGAAATGAGCCGTATTTCTTAGTAGAGGTATAGCTTAACTAGTTCTCATCTCAGTATCACAGAATTTGAAAGTCAATTTAAGTCTAGACGTATGAACATAATGAAACTGTTTAAGTTGGCTTCTCATATATTGTTACAACTGTCATTATCTGGGAATTAATAATTAATTGTATTTTGATGAGAATAAGATCCCTTTGAAATATAACCAAAAGAGTTGACACCTGATCCATTGGGCATTTTCAGTTGTTATGTTGGTATGACATAATCATCTATTTCTTGCTATTTCATAACTAAATGAAAATAAGACGTTTTTTGTTATTTCAGAATGATTTTGTAGTAGAAACTAGTCTGGTTGGATGTGTATTAAATGGGTTATCCCACTTACATAATATTAAAAATAAAGCCCACTTTGCTATCTGTTTAATACATGGATTGGGATCTAATATATCAGAACATCACAGGGAGAAATTTGCTCAAGAGGTGACATATTTTTATAATATTAAACCATTTACAAAGAATTATCCACGTAAATCCAAACTAAGGTGCAGTTCAAAGTAATATTATTTTAATATCCTCTTGATGAAAGTATTACTTCAGTTTCAATCTTTAATTTAATCAGAAAATCTTTGTTTTTAAAGGTATTTTCTTGGGTAGGTGAAGCACCACCAGAGAGTAGGCGACCACTAGATGCTTATTATGATGAATCAGTTGGTCGCCTAATGACTTACAGTACAGAGGTAGGTTCTGAATTCCCTCTCCTTTTAAAAAATCTGGATTGCATAAGATTTCTTCTTATCCCCTGTAATAGAATTGCCCTTCCTAGTGATATGCTTTCTATTACTGGCTAAGTGCATTTTCTCTTCTCTTTAGGATCTTCTATCTTGATTTTACTTGCTGCAGATGTGAAATTTTTATTCCAATTTATCAACAATTTTATTTCAATGTAATTTTCAATAATGTAAATATTCATTTAATTCCAATTCCTCAAGTTTTTGCAATAGATATGATTTCATTTCAAATTTCAATGCAAATTTCTACAATGTAAACTTGGAATTCTATTCAAATTATTTGCTTTATACAAATTTTGTCCTGCTTTTAAAATTTCAAGTACTATTTATCTTCCAATCCAACCTTTTCTTCTTATGTGCAATTTCTACATTTTCAGCTTTTAAACCTGAACACCCTTTTTGCACTGTTTTCTATCTTTTTATTTTAAGGAAATGGCTTTTGTAAAAGGGGTAAAGTCAATGTGTTTTGTGTTGATATTTCAATATGTTTGTTATAATAAATGTTTGATATTCAAAATGCTTGATATTAGATGTTTCATTTATAAGTCATTGTTTTAATATTTAAACAGACGTCATTCATACTTATTGTTCTGATATTTTTATGATTATTTCTAATTTAAAATATTGTGTGATTGTTGATCATATTTAATGTTTATGATAATGATGAATGGTTTTAAATGTAATTGCACATGATTTTGAGTGATTTGATGCAAATTTTCTCAATCTTGACCATGATTTTTTCTGCTTAACTTTTGAAAATATTCTGTTTTGTTGATATGAAACAAGTTAATTATTAATGAAGCACCAGTGAGATCTAGTTGCAAATTGAAGTCATAATTTTATCTTCAACTGCTATTTTTGCACAAAGAGAAAATTTTAGTAGGACATATACATTTGTGACTTGAACTCAATAAACAGGCTATCTTGTAATAGGCATTAGTTTTGTTTATATATTGGTAAGTAATAGTGCTTTCCATACAATTGAAATAGAGCGTTGTTATGAAAAGGGCATTTGTTCAGATTTGATTTGAAAAGTGAATAATCTCTATGTACCATTTTTAGGTACCTGAAAACCTTACAGCAGATCATTTCACTATATCTTCAAACCTACCTGTTATTCGTACATCAGATGTCCAGAGAAGTTTAGATTATTTTACACCCTGGTTAGATCCTGATAATAAACAACCCTTTATACTTGTTGGTCCTGAAGGCTGTGGAAAAGGGTAAGAGGTTTTAATTTTTCAGCCATGTGTTATTATACGCCCACACGTAAGATGGGCGTATATTGTAATCACCCCGTCGGTCCGTCCGTCCGTCCGTCCGTTCACATTTGGCTCGTGCTCACTCTACAGGCTACAGTTCTTTACAGATTCTTTTGATTTTTATTTTGTATGTCAAAGTCATTATGAAGATGATCCCTATCGATTTTCGAGATGATCGGATAATATTTCACCGAAATATCGTGTCTGACTTGACGTTTCACTCTATTAGCTATATTGTGCAACCTTGTAGTCACTAAAGACTGCCAGTGGGCGTATGTTACTTTGCCTGGCAAGCTATCTTTTAAAAATTGAGGTTAGTAGTGTCAGCTGTCTGTAATAAGATAGATACCAAAAGTTGTTTGTATTGCACAATGCAAAATGTACCAAAATATGTGTGTATTTCATGATGGTGCTCTACTTATTGAGTTTGGTAATTGCTGACAGAGCCTTAACTATTATGTAAGATCTTTTTTCAGACTTTGGCAGTTTTTCACGTTGTATGGGTTATTATTTCAAATTTGATACATTAAGATGAACGTTAGATTCTTACTTTAGGATTTTTTTTACAGATTATTATTACGTCACAGTTTTGAACATCTAAGATCAACACAGATAGCAGTTGTACATTGTAGTGCTCAAACCAACCCCAGCCATATTCTACAGAAACTTAGTCAGACTTGTATGGAGATCAGTTCTAATACTGGTCGTTTACTACGTCCTAAAGACTGTGAACGTTTAGTTCTATATCTGAAAGATATTAATCTGCCAAAACCTGATAAATGGGGAACTTGTCAGATGATTTCATTCTTGCAACAGGTAAGGATTTGCTTTGTAATGTAATTTTCATATATTAGGCCACATTGATGTAGTGAGGTACAGGCTGTTAACACGCTTGTTAGGCTTGTGAGGCTTCGGATTGATCTGAGCATAGGTTGAGATTCAGTTAAATATTCAGCCAAGCTCTTCACTGTCATTGATGCAGGTCGAAAGAGACAACCATGGAAAAAAAAAACATCTTATGTTTTGGTGGTACAATAAACCAAAAACGTATGTGCTACTGGTTGTGTAAGACCTCTCGCAGATGCAAATAGAAAAAAGAAATGCTGTTCTGGTAAAAGGCTGAAGTTTTAATTTTGCCACCTCAAGGTCTTTTAAATTTCCTTAGTATATTGAATGTTAAATAGTAAGAACAGGTCACATTTGATAAATTGATTTTCTACAAAGTTTCCTCTTGAACTATTGAACGTTCAGTTTTGAACAAAATTATCTAATGTTGTAGGTAATCATCTATAATGGATTCTACAGTTCTACATTAGAATGGGTTGGTTTAGAGAATATACAGATAGTAGCTAGTATGAATGCTGTTACTACTCTAGGTCGACATAAATTAACTACTAGATTTACTTCCATAGTCAGAATCTGTGTTGTAGGGTAAGTCATTTATACAGATATCAAAATATATTTACTAATAGGTTGATAAACCAAGTAGCAGACTGGCATTAGGTGTTCAGCAAGATGACAAACATGTTGATTTGAGTGTTTTATTTTTATGACTCCATTGACCAAGTTGGTAATGGATATGGATTATCTAGGAAAGATTAATGCCAAGAGGTTAGGCCAAGGACCAGCTTGTATAAAGGATCCTTGTGAACCAATCTTATCCTTGTAAAAAAATGGTTGTGTCTTTTTGTCTTTTTCTATTCTCAGTTCAGGAACATGCATGTCAGAAATATTAAATTAATGTTTTCAATCACTCCTGTTTTCAGCTATCCAGATCATGAACAGTTACAGACTATCTATTCATCTTATTTAAAACCTATTCTACATAAACAGTTAGCACACCATCCTGTATGGGGTAGTTCTTCTAAAATTAATACACTAGCTGGTACAATGGTACAATTTTATGAACAGGTATACTATCTCTATTTATATTTTATAATTAGAATTCAGTAGAGGGGAAAGGTTTGACTTATCTCCTTTTGTACACTGTACAGTCAGCTATGACATCATACTCCCATCATATTTTGTATCTATATATGAATAATGAATGGAGTTGAAAGGCCTTGTTTGGGATTAAAGAGTTGTATTTCACTTGACTCTTTTATTTTTCTGCCCCAATTGTATAATTAATCTTCCAAAATGTTATTTTTTTTCAGCTCCGAAGTAAATTTACAGTTGATGATTATGGTCATTATTTATTTGCACCTCGAGATTTAACAAGTTGGGTGTTAAATCTTTTGAGATATGATCTAAGTTCAGGAGCCAATGAAAATACATGTGATACAGTGTTACGAATCTGGGCTTATGAAGCACAGCGATTATTCCGTGATAAAATTGTGGGACTAGAAGGAAGAAATAGGTTTGATAATATGTTAATGTCAGCAGTAAGAGCTGATTGGTCAACTAATATCTTTGATGAATTAGCAAGTAAGTCTTTGTTTCATATCACTTATTCATTGACTATTCTGGTTTGGTACACTTTTGCACTGATGGCTTTTTGATATCCATGGGCAATTTATCATGATTTAAGTTCAGAATTTCTACCATCTGTGGAAAAAGAGTACTATGTATCTTTAATATATCTTGTTTAGGTACCTTCTATGTGACATGGGGAGCTAGAACTGACAGTGGAGCACCTGCTGTGGCTGCTGGAGCACCATTACCTATATTTGGTAAACCATTAGGACTACTGTCTAGTGATGATCTGAAACAAGTCATTGAGAAAGGCATCAGGATATATGGTGAGTTATTGTTGACATTTTTTTGTTTTGCTGAATGGAGGATATAAATGGTGGCCATGATTAGGTTACCATGGTGATTGCGTTTATTCTCCTATATTGAAACACAATAAGTACATATTTCAATGATCAAGAAAATCATGAAATTAACTTGTTTGTGAACAATTACTGGTATAAATCTTCATATGCTTCAATTGAATGTCTCTAAATTTTTAGAATTAACTTCATGAGAAGATTTATATCTAATTTATTACTTTATTTCAGGTCGTGAAAATCGTGAACTTGATCTGTTGATATTTAAAGAAGTGTTAGAGAATATGGCTAGAGTAGATCGTGTATTGACGAAACCAGGAGGATCATTATTAATGGCAGGACGTAGTGGTGTTGGTAGGCGTAGTGCTGTAGCTGTAGTAGCCAACATGCATCAGATGGAATTCTTCTCTCCTAAGACTTCAAGAGGTTATGGATTGAAACAGTTTAAAAATGATTTGAAAACTGTAAGTCTCTTCATATACGTTTGAGTTTTAGCATTAACTAGGTTTTTTGGTCCCAATTTAGTTCTAACACAGTAATTAGATAACATATCAGATCATTTGACTAGTGGTTTTGAGGCAAGTTTCTCTATTTGTAGTCATGAAGTTGCAAGAAAGTTGATTTCTGATGTGTCATTGACTGCTTTAGAATTTTTTGGGGTGATAAATGATGATGTATTTTCCTTGACATTACTTCTTACTTTCATTTTGGTGTAGGTGATGCAGTCCAGTGGAATTGATGGGAATCAAGTTGTTATGGTATTAGAAGATCATCAGTTTGTAGAACCACAGTTTCTAGAGTTGATAAACAGTCTACTGTCAGCAGGAGAAGTTCCAGGACTGTATTCTCCTGAAGAATTAGAACCATTATTAGCACCATTGAGAGACATGGCTTCCGAAGTTGGATTCAGAGGAACTATGGTGAATTATTTTGCTTCAAGTGAGTCCTGAATTTTTTACTGTTTCTGTGGTCAAATCTCATCCAATCACTTTCTCAATGGCCTGTTAGTTTTTATATTATTTGTTATGTGAAAAACTGAAATGTAGTCCAATTTATTTCTTAATATTTCTTGTACTTCTTGTAAATCTTAATGTTAACCAGATCTGTTCTTATGTGGTGTATTTTCTAGGAATCATGTCCAATCTTCATATAGTACTAGTAATGGATAATACTAATACATTGTTTACATTGAACTGTGAGAGTAATCCTGCCTTCTATAAACAATGTTCTGTACAGTGGATGGATGGATGGAGTAGAGAGAGTATGGTGAAGGTATGATAATTTTAAACTTGAATTTGAACATGAAATTAGATTATTATGATACACTTGTTTTAAATTCTGAACTGTGAGATACTTTAGATACTGGTATAGTTACAAAGCTTTTCCTGGCGTGAAACATTCCCATTAAAACAAATTTGAATTCTGTCAAGGTTGTTGCCTCTCAGATTTTTATTTTTGTTCTGAAAAGTCGTAAAATCTGTCACTATACATCAGACTTTATGAAAATAAAATAAATATTTCACATCTTATTTCTTCCTTACTTTCTTACTTTATTTGCAAGTTCCCCATACCTTGATTTTTTTAAAGGTTCCTTACATGCTGTTGACACGACCACCTAAGATTGAAGGTGGCTCAATTGGTGAACAGAAACAACGTCAACGTAAACTTTCTGGTGGAGAAGAATTATTGAAATCTTTTCTTCACGTACATGAATCATGTGATCCTGTCAACTTAACACCCAGACGCTTTATGGTATTCTTAAATACATATCAACAAGTATATAATGAGAAAAAATCTAGTATCGAAAAACGACAACATCATTTGCAGGTAACATTTTCTTTTCCATTGTTCAAAAAAAAAGAATGATTGAAATAAGTCATTTGCTCATACCCCATAGATCGGACTGAAACTTTATTAGGACCAAATTAAGGGATAGAATTTCTTAAACTCAAAATCACTTTCAAACCTTTATTCCTAGAATTTCATATGACCTGCAGGCTGAGTTCCTATAAATATTTTAGATACTCTATTTTAAAAGCTCTGGACTCATATTTCTCTTGGTTAACAGGCTGGTGTCTCTAAATTAAATGATGCCAAACATCTAGTAGATGAGTTAAAGAGTAAAGCAGCAGAACAAAGTATACAGCTAGCTGAGAAACAACGTGAAGCTGATAAAGCTCTTAGTGAGATAACAGTCAGTATGCAGGTAAGAGATTAACATATATAGTTAATCAGGGCATGCATCTTTTATATTTTGTTCTGTTAATAATGATTCTGTAGTGTCATCATGTGGAACTTCAGTCTTTCTCCTTATGCTGTAGCTAGTCAGCTTAGTGGTTAGTTTCAACCAGATTTTACATGTTGGACCTGAGAAAACGATAGAACTCTATGTACCACAGGTTGTGCATGAATAATAGATGGAAAATAAAAAGATGGCGGCACTATCCTAGCAAAATTATTCTCATTTAACATGTTATGGTACAGAAAAGTGGACAAAAGCACATTTCAATTCATTATGTATCCATTACAACTTATCAAATTTTGTAGAATGCTGGAGATCAGAAAAATGAAATGGAAGTATTAAAACAACAAGCAGCAGAAGAGAATAAAAAACTTGAAAAACGTAAAGTGGCTATAGATCAAGAACTATCAGAGATTGAACCATTAGTTCAGGAGACTAGGAAAGCTGTAGGAAATATTAAAACAGAATCATTATCTGAAATCAGATCACTAAGAGCTCCTCCTGATGTTATTAGAGATATTCTAGAAGGTGTTTTAAGATTAATGGGCATCTTTGATACATCGTGGGTCAGCATGAAAAGGTTTGTTTTTCCTTGTTATTTCTTAGCCTTTGGGGATTCAATTCTCTTTTTTTTAAAAAGGGAATGTGTAGAGAAAATTAAGCCTTTTATGTGCATTGTGGACACTTTCAGCATTCAAATTTCCAAAACTGTGTCTGAAATACTTTTGGCTTTTAGATTGGCAAGATCAAGAAACAAAAATTGTTGATTTTTTCAGTTTCTTGGCTAAGAGGGGAGTAAAGGAAGAAATCCAGACTTTTGATGCAAGGAAGATTAGTTCTGAAATTAGAAAGAGTGTAGAAGATTTACTGAGGAAAAATGGTGCATCATTTGATCCCAAGGTATGTTTTGATATTTTAGATCATTAACTACCTATGATTGTATGAAACTGCTTTAGGTTTTGGTCATGGACTCCTAACTTACAGTTCACAGTTGAAAAATGACCTTGACCTTTAGTGCTTTATAATTGAATTGATTACATTGTGTTACAGAATGCTAGAAGAGCATCAGTGGTAGCTGAACCATTGGCAGCCTGGGTTAGAGCTAATGTTAAATATTCCTATGTCTTGGAGAAAATAGAACCCTTAGAATCAGAACAAGCCATGTTGCGAAAGTAAGTATGTTTTTAAAACCGAGCCAGCAAAGATATGATAGTAAGTTTTTATAGTAATACTTGGTAATAATTTGAAAATGACTTAAAGATTGTATTTATATGAATAATTGTATTAACTTTGAAAAGATAAGCTTTCTGTGCCTACCGAAATGACCAATCAATTTTAAGAATTCTTAGACTATAATTTTTGCTGATAAGATTTCTTTTATCCATCAGGAATTTAGAGAAAGCTGAATCTAAAATGGAGAGATTAGGCAGAGATTTAGATGAAGTTGATAATAAAGTGGCTCAATTGCGAGCTAGATTTGAGAATTTTACTAAAGAAGCTGCAGAATTGAAGATTAAATTAGATAAAGAAAATGAAACTATACAGGCAGCTGAAACTCTGGTTTCTAAATTAGATGTAGAATATGACAGATGGAATGCTCAGGTTTGTTTATGCCACATGCTCAATAACAGAGAGATCTTGCCCCTTCTCAAGAAATCTTACTACCTACTTGTTGAAAGTGAGCTATTTCTCAAAGCCACACCAAATTTTTATTTGAAATGGGGCCATTTGTTTTTTTGTGATAGAAAGAGTTATGCTAGATTTTTCATGTTATTTTTTTTTGTCACTGATGATGGTCATTATAGAAAAAAGTGTTTAGTTGAAAAATAGAGGCTTAAGGCTACATGCTATCCCAATTGTGAATGGAGCTGAATACTTACATAAATATCCTTCATTGTATTCTGTATGTATTGATCACCAGCAGTGGCCAAATAATATTTTATTATTTACAATCTAAATCTTCAATTCTTGTTTCAGGTTGGAGAATTATCTAATGAACTAAATGCTTTACCAAAACTAGCTTTACTGGCTGCAGGTTTTATAACCTACCTATCTTCTGCACCAGAAGATGTTCGTCGTAGTACTATAAAAGGATGGATGGATGCTATTGGTGTGGAATCATTTGAGATCAGAAGGTTTTTGAGTACTGAAAGTGAACAGTTGATCTGGAAGAGTGAAGGCTTACCATCAGATGAGTTATCTATGGAGAATGCTCTAGTCATCTTACAGGTATGGTGATACTTTTATCAAAATACGATCTCAGATCAGAAAACTTGTTATATTTTTTATGATATATTATGTAGCCAGGACTACCTCTTATCATAATCCTGTATAGAAATAGTCCTTTTATCATTATTAAATCTTTTGATTCACTTACATATTTATACTCATCCCCATAGCTTTAATACCAGATTAAAAAGACACTTTGTTATAAATATCAGGTTAATAATTTGCCAGTTGGGGTAAGAACATTTTTTACAGGTGTTAATTTAACTCAAGTTTCAGTTTGATCACCCTTTAATTTGTAATGACTCTTTTCCTACAATCCACACTCAACCAACCACCTACCAACTCCTTACCACCCACCCTTTATAATCCACCATTCCTGACCACCCACAGAGCACAATTTCTTAACACCTACCAACTCCTTACCTCCCACCTTGGTGTTACTTGAAGTGTTTTGTTTTACTGAGGAGAATTTTTTTTCAGATTGTGTCGTCATCTGTTTTGTATATTGTTATTTTATTGTTATCATCTCTCTGTACTCACTCAGATTATTCACTATTTATGTCAATATTGTATTTTTCAGCTTTTATTATTTTTCACAAATAGTGTAAAAATATGGAAGCTTATCACTGGGCAGGCCAATAATGTGAAATTTTAATTTTTGAAAATATTCATACACATTTTTTTATACTTCACAAAATTGCCCTTTTCAATTAAAGGTGTTTAAATGTAAATATGAGGAGCCACAGTGGCTCAGTGAGTTATAGCTTAAACCTGAAGACCCAAAGTTTAATCTTGGCATAGGTCAAGATAAAACATTCAAACATTTCAACCTAGTCTTCCACTACTAGTGATGCAAATGACTGACCCGGTAAAAAGTTTGCATATGCAAGATCCCTCTAAGATGGAAATTGAAAAAGAGTAGATGTAGGCCATTGTCTTGTCAAAACTTCTCTTATTGCACACAGCATGGCCAGTCCTCTTTAGCTGAAACAGGTGCAGAAAATTTAGGACTCCTTTTCATGTAATATAAATGTTACAACAAGACATTTTGAATATATACAAAAGCTAAGAAAACTTGTGTTGAGTTGAGATAGACCAGTTCAAGAATGATGATTAATTTGTTGAAACCTCTTTTGATATATTTTAGAGCTCATTACGGCCATTTTTAGTAGATCCTTCATCAAGAGCAACAGAATGGTTAAAAAATCATCTTAAAGACAGTCGACTAGAAGTTGTCAATCAACAGGTAATATAAATGATCTGCATGGTTCTTATACTTACGTTTCAAGTTTATGATTTGAATCTTTATCGCAAACATTTGCATAATGTCATGAATTATCTTCAGTTTTAGATTTGGAATCTTGCTGTAACTATTTCTGTAAGAATTACTATACAATAAACTATTACTAATTACTGTACAATTACAGGATATTAAAGATTTCAATATGTGTTGAGCATGTGTTATTTGATATTATAGGATGCTAATTTTAACACTGCTCTAGAATTAGCTGTAAGATTTGGTAAAACATTGATAATACAAGAAATAGATCAGATAGAACCTGTTCTTTATCCTTTACTTAGAGGTGATCTTACTGCTCAAGGTAGGTAACTATTTTACAAGAACTAGGTAAACATTTTAGACCTTCATTAGATATAAATGCTGAAATAGCCTTAGCTTTCCCAACAAGTAGAATGTGCTGTAAAATTAAACATGTCCAGCATGGATGTCTTGCATTGCTGTCTTTGCTTACTTTAGTGAATATTGTGTAGACATTTAGATAAAAGGCAAGTTTACCATATAAACCTCATTTAAAGAAGAAGGTTGTCAGATCTATAATGAGTTAGTAATGTACAGTAAATAATATATAGAAATGAAATATCTCATACTATCTTTTCTCTATTGTTTGAATTCATGATTTATTCCTAGGTCCAAGATTTGTTGTACAGATTGGAGAGAAGACTATAGATTATAATGAAGAGTTCCGATTATTTCTAACAACTCGTAATCCAAGTCCCGAAATCCCACCAGATGCAGCATCTGTTATAACTGAAGTTAATTTTACTACAACTAGAGCTGGTCTAACTGGTCAAGTTAGCATTCTCTCTTATATTCTGTTATTATTTCTGCTGAAAATGTAATGCCTCAGTGAGTTCCTTCCCCCTTTCAGTGATGCAGGTTTGTGAAGCTGACTGAAAAAACTGCATGGACGTGTAATAGGCTATGCATGTTAAAGATCCCTCAACAGTTGGTAATAGAAAAAGAATAGACTAATGTTGCATTTAGGTTTGGAATAGTGATAGATTAAACTCTATTTGCCAATGATTTTGAAGGCTTCTAAACTAAATACATTTTCATTTATATAGAATATTTGAAAATTTTAGTTATTGGCTGTAACAATACAACATGAAAAACCAGAATTAGAAGTGAAGAAAACAGACTTATTGAAACAAGAAGAGGACTTGAAAATTAAACTGGCCAAACTTGAAGATTCTCTATTAGAGGTAAGATTCCATACACTTTTTGGGTTCATTTTACTTTGAAATTTATACCCCTGTGTTAAAATACACATATTGAAATTGTATTTGTTTTTATACCAATATGAGTGCCCCATAGAGTCAAAATAATGATTATAAGAAGAATGGAATAAGGATGTGTCACTTTGAAAATCTGTCACTTTGAAAATCTGTCACTTTGAATATCTGTCACTATGAATATCTGTCACTATGAATATCTGTCACTATGAATATCTGTAATATTGGATCATGATCAAGTTGCCTGAGCACAACATATTAGATGGCTGTCATTTTTATAAAATATGGACATTGTTATACTTTCAGGAACTGGCCAATGCTAAAGGAAATATTCTAGAGAATAAAGAATTATTAGATTCTCTCAATATGACTAAAGCTAGTAGTATCACTATATCAGACTCTTTAACAGAATCAGTCAGACTTCAATCTTCATTAGATCAGGTAAGCTTTCCTGGACCCTAAAAGATAGGGGGTTTGGGGTGGGTGTTTATGTTGCACTTAGAGAAGTTGTTTCTGTTAAAGCAGCTGATATGGAGAAAAGTGTCCAGTTAATCTGAAAGAGGGGAACATCTATCTTGTACAGATTGTTCTTATAGTCTGTCTTCATCAGCTCACTAGGTTCTGATTCTTTGAACTTTTGATTTCAAGTCATTACATTTGTAAGTTGTTTATATATAAGTATGGTTTTGTTATTTTAGGAAAGAAATACGTATCTGCCACTAGCTGAGAATGGTAGCTGTTTGTATTTTGTTATTTCCGATTTAGCTAAGATAAACAATATGTATAGATTCAGTCTAGCTTCTTTCCTTAGAATCTTTCAAAGAGCACTACATACACAACATGTAAGTAATATTCCTCAGGTAAAAATATTTGATAAATTTGTTTAGTTTGTTCACACTTTTTAGAAACCTCACCTTAAAATACGTTTAATTTTTAGCTGGTAAATACTATAAAGCACTATTGTAGACAGATTTGGATGAAATTTAATAGTGAAATTGTTTATTATCACCAAGGATGTTTTCTATTGAAAACAAAAATCGAAAAAAAGTTTTATATGAGTTGATGCCCTTGTTCTGTAAGACGCTTACAATTTTTAGTTTGACCCGTTTAATTATATGTTTATTACAGGATGGAAGTGGAACTGAAATGAGAATAAAGAATCTATCTTATCGTCTACAGCTTATGATCTATGAATATGTTTGTCAATCATTATTTAAAGCAGATAGATTGATGTTTGCTATGCACATGGTACATGGCATGAAACCAAATATGTTTGCTGAAAATGTAAGTTGAAGTTTTTGTTGAAATAGTTTAGGTTGGTCATGATTTAATTAAGAATTTTTAGGGGCATCTATTGATTTGATTTTCCTTGCACCATTTTGTATCAGCTTGACCTCTAATATTATGTTTATGCATTTGAGGAATGGGAAGCATTTACAGGAATTTTAGTAGCAGATGTGAAGGCCGAAGGAGGTAGACCTAATTGGGTGGATGAAGAAAGAGGACAGGCTGTGGCAGCTTTTAAGGTAAATAATGAACAAAGATGGGATTAATGCATTTTGTTCTTGATTTTATTGCTGTTGTTGAATTGGTAGCTGAGGTGGTTGAGTTAGGAATGGCCACAGTAAATTTTGTCAATTAAGTTTTTAAGGACTTCCTGACTATCTTTTGTCAGTAATAATCTGTAAACAATACTATATCATTCAATACAAATACATGTTTAAAGTACCTTGACATTGTAAATCTGAAAAAGAAGTAGTTCATTATTGAATTTGTCTTTTTTTGTAACCACATTATGTTTTTTCTGAAAAAAACTCAAGCAATTCATGTTTATATAATGATATTAATTTGCTATATTTCAGACTAACTTCCCTCAGTTATATAATCAGATGAATCTAGATGACGGATCAACATGGTCTAATTTTGCTAGGAGTAGTCAATGTGAATTAGAATTTCCATCCTCTATAGAGAAACGTATTACACCATTTCAACAAGTTTTATTAATACAAGCAGTAAGACCTGACAGATTACAGACAGCTATGAGTCATTTTGCTTGTAGTTTATTGGGTGAGTTAGAAGACCATAGAACTGGTAGAATGGAAGAATTTGTATTAGATTTTTAAGAGATAAACTTTTTTTTAAATGAATTTTTTTTTTTTATTAGATAATAATATTAGACATTGACTATAAACTTTTCTCAAGTGTCCTGATAAAAACATGATTAATAAAAATTGCTTGTGTTTGTAGAAATGAAGGAACTGTCTCTACCAACAGTTAATTTAAAGAAATTATATCAAGAATCAATATCAACTGAACCTATATTAGTTATTATATCACCTGGTGTAGATCCTTCACAAGAATTACAGGAACTAGCAGTAGAAACAGTTGGTATGGATAGATATCATCAGGTAATAAATCCTTACTAAGTATGGTACAGGAACAATTTGTTTGTCATACACAATGCCGATAGCATAATCATTTTGTTTGAGAAAGAAATGATTGGATTTCTGACTATAGTAAATTTTGATAGTGAAAATTATGAATTAATAGAAGAACTCAATTTGATAGAAATTCTATTTAATATTTTGAAAAAATTATTTATTATTTTACTTTGCATGGTAATTTTGGTAAAATTATTTTTTTCATCGATATTAAAGAAGATGTTGATGATTATATTTACTATAATTATAGGTTGCTATGGGTCAAGGACAGAGTGAAGTAGCTATGCAGTTATTACATGAATGTGCTGTAAAAGGGGAATGGCTGTGTTTGAAGAATATTCATCTTGTAACAGCCTGGTTACAAACACTGGAAAAGGTTTGTCATATCATATACATGAATTTCAAAAAGAAGCTGCAGTGGCTCAGTGAGTTAGACATTGAAGTAACCACCATGATTCAGTTGTACACTTGTTTACACTTCTGTTGACTTTCTCCTGTAATATCTCTCTCAAAAAAAGGAAACAACCACTAGTTAGTACTAACCAAAATTTGTTTTTTTTTTGTAGGAACTAAACTCTCTGAAGCCACATGATGATTTCCGATTGTGGTTAACAACAGAAGTTCATCCTAGATTCCCTACTATATTACTACAGTCCAGTCATAAAGTAACTTATGAGGTAAGAAAATTAAATGCCAATATGGGGTTGTCACCTGATTTAGAGTAGGGGGAACAGGGAATTAACAACAAACTATCAAATCAAAGAAGAAATCATCCAAAAAACGACTGCCTTGGAGCTTCAATTAGACTCTGTCTGTTAATTATATCCTGTCTGTAAATATGTTAAATAAAATGGCGTTTTGTAGGCTTAGAGAGATGTGTCGATCAGTTGGCTTGTCAAAAACAAATTATTTTTATGTAACTGAAAGGATGTCAAATTATTTTGTAGGCTCCACCTGGTGTGAAGAAGAATCTATTGAGATCTTATGAAACATGGACACCAGAATATATTAGTCGTGGAGGTAGTGTCATTAGATCTCAGGCATTGTTTGCTCTGACTTGGTTCCATGCTGTGGTACAGGAGAGAAGAATGTATATCCCACAGGTAATTTTGAAATTTATCTCTTCTTTGTGGGGTCCATCCAAAAGTACCTCTCAGTTTTGTATTTTTGATATCATTGATTCTATGTAAAGAGATTTCCAAGAATAGTTGGCTTTAAATGATCTGTGCATTTTTGATCCTGAACAATATATTTAATTATTTTTAGGGCTGGACCAAGTTTTATGAATTTTCTCTATCAGATTTGAGAGCTGGTGCCAATATAATAGATAGACTATGTTCTGGTGCAGGTATGATAGAAAATATTATTATGTTTTGATTATGGCAAAAAGATTGCCACCATCTAGTTATTTTATTTTTAGACTGAAAGATCAAATATGCCTTTATGGTACACACTGGATGAAACAAAGAAACAAACAACTATGTTTAAAAGGATTAAGGATCCTCTCTACTATCTAGTCCTTGACCAAGTCTCTTGGTATTGACCTTTTCTGGATTATCGGTGCCCATTTACAGAAGTTTGAGTGCAGAATGGAGAATGGAACCTACAACTGCCATTTGTTCAATGTAACCAAGGAAATGACGTCAGAACCAACGCTCTAACCAACTGTGCGATAGAAGCTCATATTTAGAAGAATTTATTGGTTTTGCCTTCTTTATCCATTTTCTGTGATTCATATAAATCATGTTTCCCCTTTCAGGTCACGATGTCCAATGGCAGTTTATTCATGGATTATTTGAGTTTGCTATATATGGTGGTCGTGTTGATAATCCATTTGATATGAGAGTTATGGTATCTTATTTAAAACAGTTCTTTGATGCCTCAGTTCTGTCCTCACAAGGAAAGAGTAAGAGAGTTGGTCCACTAAAGATTCCAAGTTCTACTAGTTATAAGGTAAGGCAAGCTTCTCAAATTTCATTGAGAGTAGTCATGCAGACTGACATTTTTTATGAAATGATTCAAGGATACTAAATGAATATGTCACTAGCCCATGAAAAAATTGATGAAACATTTATATCAAGGATTGAAAATGTTTTGTTATTCTGTTGTATTCTGTTGGATTTTTCACAATGTAAATCAGCAGTACAAGAGTGTTACAAGTTAGGAGGCTTGGAAAAATTGGTAACCATGAATTTTATATTCTTGAAATTGATATTTTATGGATCCTTTTCTCAAATTATTAATAATTACCATTACAGGATTATATAGAAGCTATTGAAGCTCTACCAGAATTTGATAAACCATCTTATTTTGGACTTCCTGAGAATATTGAAAGATCAGCTCAACGTATCATCAGTTCAGCAGTCATTTCACAACTACGTATATTACAACGTGCTGATGTTAAAGCTAGTAAATTTGATAAAGAGGTCTGGGCTAATGAACTAGGACCAATATTAAATCTGTGGAAGAAACTCAATCAGGTACTCCCGTGATCAGTTTTTTTTTTGCTAAGAATTCTTTTTGTTTTGGAACATTTCAACATTGAGTTCTTTAACTCTTGTCTGATGTCTTAATGTCAACTATGTAAAAAATACCCAATTTGTGACAAAATTTTAAAAAATAGCGTTAAGTAGGGTCCAATTTCATAAATAGTGACATTAGATTTGTGATCCTACCTGCATTATCACATCTATACTAGGAAGTGTCTGATTTGTGATTTAAGCTCATGTTTTGCAAAGATCTCATTTGTTTGTTTGAAAAATGCAGTTGAATGAAAGGCTGTTTTGTTTCTATTTTCTCCTGTTTTTGAACTATTAAACTATGTTATTGAATATTTTCAGGGTTCTAATTTAATTCAACAGAAGTTAACGCCACCTAGTGATAAAACTGGTAAACAGTCACCAATAGTATCATTCATATTGTTAGAAAGATATAATTCTATACGTCTAGTACAAACTGTTCATACTTCACTATCAGGATTGAGTAAAGTTATACGTGGTTCTCAGTTACTAACAAGTGACACACAGAATCTAGCTGCTGCTCTTCTTAATCAAGAGGTAAATCATATTATAAATATAGCTACAAGCTTATTGAATATGTATAAGTTTATGTTCACACAAAGCCTTCTACTTGCAAATGACATCTAAGATTAAGTCTTAGATGTTTCTGTTGTAGAATAACTTGCTGATTTTTTTCTTAAAGGCTGGCATTTGGATTAACAGAAAAGCAGATGGATAAATGAATTATTTTGTCTTTTCTGTTTTTTTTTAATAGACACCAATAAGTTGGTTGAAGAGTTGGGATGGTCCTGAAGATCCTGTACAATATTTAAGAGGACTGGTAAACCGAGCTCAGTCCATGCAGAGCTGGGTAGAGCGTGCAGAGGGAGGTTCATTATTACGTGATACTTTAGATTTATCTGAACTGTTCCATCCTGATACATTCCTTAATGCTCTAAGACAACAGACAGCTCGGTTAGTATCTTTTACTTGTTGATTCTGAATTAAGATTACAACTATTATGATTCAAATAAATTTCCCCTGCTTTCAGTTTATATAGATTTTTTTTTTTAGGATTTTTTTTACCCAGCCTGTATTTAATGCAACGGATCAAATTTTGGAGTTCCCTCTCAATCGTTACTTGCAGAAACATAAAAGGTTTTAACACTGTGGACTAAATGCAAGGTTGACATTGCCAGTGCAATAAGTTCTTCTTATTGTGGTCTTGACAGTTATTTACAAGTTTTGAAAACAGATTGCAGATTGACTTATAGTTCAATGTCATTATATTTATTACAGAGAAATAGGATGTTCTATGGATAGTTTAAAGTTTGCCTGTAGTTGGAAGGGAAGTATACAAGGTGCTAACTATTCTATCAAGTTAGGTGGATTACAGTTAGAGGGATGTAGTTTTGATGGATCAAGGATGTCTGAGAACCAACGTGATTCACCTAGTGTATCAGCTATACCATCTTGTCAAGTTGCTTGGATACCAGCTGTAAGTAGAGTTTTTTTTTAATTTATCTTTGTCTAAGCTAATGAATCATGTTCAAATAATGATCAGTCATACTTGGAATTTCATGAATGAATTAAAGTATTCTATTTTGACATATAGGATAATATTTCTGTTGAATCTGATTCATATCAATATCAGAAAAAGGTTTTGAAACCAGTCTATATTTATATACATTTTAAACAGTATCTTATACCTTTTTAATAATATTTATTAAGGATGACCATGAAGCAGATAAAAAACGGGTAATATTTAAGAGAGCCAATTTTTGCAAAATTTAACGCTTTATGCTTGAATTATTATGAAATAATTGTAGAGTTTGATGATGTGTGTTGTGAGAGTGTTATAGGTTGATGTGTGATGAAGATGTGATCTATAATGAATCTTGGATCTTGCTGTGAAATTTATATTTTAAACCCTTGAAATCTGATTAAAATACTTCTTCAAATTCATATTTTATTTTTGTGTGCATAAATTTTAATTAGATTAAACCCTATTAATTGCTTAAAAAAGAAATTTGCTTCCAATTGTGTATGCAGAATGCTAATAATTGATGAATATCTTTCTTCATAACATTTTTATAAACAACAAAAAACCAGGCTTATGATTTAAACTTGCAGTGATATTCTCTCTGTCTGTGCATGTGAAACATTGAATTAATAATCTTAGAAATAGTATATCAATATATTTTTAGAGATATTATCCTTTCAAACCGGCTCTGTTTTTATTTGCAGGAATTACCTGATCCCTACAGTGTAGATGATACCATGTCAATACCAATATACTACAGTAGTACCAGAGATCATATAGTAGCTAAATTAGATCTACCTTGTGGTGGAAATCAATCAACATGGTTACAGTGTGGAGCAGCTCTATTCCTTAAAAATCAATAACTTATTAGCTTCAATGTTTAGTTTAGATTCATCCTTTTTTTGTAATTGTGGATTTGTTTATTCAATTTTCTTATGTTTTCTCAAATGTTAACTATTTTATCATTGATTTGTATAGATACACCCATGCTCTAATGGATATACTTCTATTCTTATGGATACACATATGCCCTTATTTGTTATAAATAAACCTATTGTAATATGGATATGCTCATGCTTCGGTTAAATCAAATCTCAAGGAGTCTATGCCTGTAATATATATGAATTCCCTTGCTCATATCAATTAAAATACAACTGTAAGCCAAGTATAAATTTCACTTTTAGGCAAAAACCCTAACTAATTTTGTAATTAGAAGTTTTAGCTAAGTTTAAATACAATATCTCACATTTGTCCCATCCTATGTTGGAAATCCAATCAACTTTTCAAACTTGTGAATTTAATCCGTCCAAGAAATATTTTTTTTCAATACTTTTATTATAAATTATTTTTGATGTTGATAATTTATTTATTTCTGTGATAAAATATTTATTAGCTGTTTCTACTGTGTTGATTTATCTATTCTGTATGTTAAAGTACATGTAGTTTATTACACCATATGTGAAAAGTGTATAGTATGGCTGTGGCCTTTTACAATTAACCCCATTGTTATGTTGAAAACAATCATAAATACCTCAGAGAGCTGGAAAATAATTGTATGGCCCCAATTTTACAAATCCGGTTATCGTGTTTATAATGAGTAATTGCCCTTTCCTTCCTGACACATTCAATTTTTTGGAAAGAGTAATCAATGAAATATATAAAATACATGACAAAAGAAAGATTTGAGTAAAATATAATATTTATTCAATAAAAAGGCCATTCTGTACCACAATGTCATGGTAATACATATAATAAAAATATATTGATAGGCACATAAATAACATAGCACTAAATAAACAATAAATAAAAACTAAATTCTCTGAAAACAAAACATGAAATGTATCTAGAGTCAAATTTATATTATTATGCACGTTTGAGGCTATATAACAAACACTTTTTGAGGTAGTTTGACATATAAAGATAACCTCAATAAGCGCAGAAATATCACAGATTATACAATACTCATATTGGCAAACAAATTCAAAAGATAATGGATCTTGTCCAAAAAGCCCACTTTAGAATGTGGTTTGTGAAAACAACATTTGTTCTTAGTTTTATTAGTCAATATCTTATTAGCAAGTTTTATGGAAATCCTTAATTATTAAAAGATATATTGTATCTACATTTTATGTTAATTTTTACACATACCTAATTTTATCGATAATGGTTAAAAATAGGAAGTGACAGTGGACTAAAACAGGTGCTGAGTATATACCTCCATTAAGACAACAATTCTAAAGCGAAAGATCTATCATGTACCATCAGTGCAAATTGGGGAAATGAGACTAAAAAGAGCTAAAAAATTAAAAAGTTACCCATTCAGAAGCTTTATAAAACACCATTTAATTTTCTACTATATTTGGCCTTGATCTCTGGGCTGTATTTAATGAATGGCTTCAGTTCATCAGTATATTTCCTTGCTCTTATATATGGCGATGTTCTCCCATAATTGTCTAATGAATTATCAACATGACGCAGACTAACACGAACTTGTTCCATTGGAGGTAGATGATCAAAGTTACCATGGTGACTGTGATAGAGGTCAGGACTGCTGTTTAATGTTCGTTGATTACTTAATGAATACTGTGTTGTTGATCTGAGCAATGGTGATAAGGCACTTGGATGGACAAATCTATCTCCATTAACATTTATTTTTGGCGGTTCATTTCTTAAAAGAGCTGATTGTCTCAGCTTCCCTGATACAGAGCCTTTACAGATTCTGTCATATCTTGATGAAGCTGGTCTACGTACACTGCCAACAGTCTGAGGTCGTAATGATAAACTCCCTGTAGAGTCTTGACCATTCAACCACGCCAATTCTTGTGGTGAAATCTCATCCAGTCTATTCAAAACAGTGTTTTTGTCCAAGATAACCACCTGTTGTGTGACTGGACGACTTTTAACAATACTTTTATTAGATAGTCTGCTTTTCAAACTATTGCGTGATGCCATTCGACTTCTGGACACCAGTAATTGATGATTTTTATTCTGGCATCTTTCCACTGGTGAAGTTGGGGACACAGGTTGGTTTTGTAAACTATTGATTGTGATTGGTTCAAAGTATACATTACCATGGTAACCTCTCCATGCCTGGAAAAAGTACATAATCCTTCAAATAGTTAAAAATTTCTTACAAAAATCCATGCATTGTGGAATTTTAAACAAAAATCCCTTCTAGATAAAGCTTGTTAACCTGGTGCTCCATGTGTGATTTCATATGGCGTATTGTTGCTCAGCAAAAATTCTGTATCGTTTACATTCTTAAAAATCTTGCTGTCAAATTATGGCAAAATCATGTAAAAGCTAACCAAAACTCACCTTTAAAGGAGGCATGGGTGTAGGTTTAGTTTGATGGATGTAGAAATATTCTGGTGAATATTGGTTATTTATATCATGCTGTGAACTAGTACATCTCTTAGATAATAAGTTCATAGCTTGTTCATATGTTGCTTCTCTTGATTCTAAACGTCTGAAATATTCCAACAGAAATGTCAAATATTAAGTCTTACAATAAAACATGAGGAGGAATATTTTATTTCAAGATATGAATATTTCAAATTGAGATTTGTTTGAAATCCAACCTAACATGATCTTGAAAAAGTCTTAGATTGAAGTGGGGCTTAATTCTATTTATACTAGTGTTCGAACCCAGCTGTACATTGGTCAAAAGAAGTCTGGGAAAGCTCATTGACATTGAACATACCTGTTGTCTAAATCTGCAGCATGACTAACAGGAGTGTTAACTTTAACCCTCTGGTCAGCAATATTCTCAACATCTTCTATTTCTGTTCTCTCTGGTTCTTTAAACTGAATTCTCGACTCTGGTCTCTTAGAAGAAGTTCTACTCTGAATTTTAGCAGACACAGGTCTTCCTCTAATAGAGCTTAAAGGTCTTTTAGAGTTTTCTTCGGAGATATTTGAATCCATGTCATCATCCATATATACTCCTAAATCTTCATCTTTTAATTCATTAGTCTCCACATTGTCACTTCTTTCATTAGCTGGTAAAATAACATCTTCATTTTTAGTCTCATTTTCATTATGGTTCTGCTCTAGATTGTTTGAGGGATCTACAGTTTCTATGTCTTCAGCACTAATTTGAACCTCAGATGAATCTTGTATGTTTTCATCAAACTGAATGCTGCCATGGTCAACCTCATCAACTGTTGGGCTATTTTCATTATTTTGGGTTTCCAAATTCTGCTCGATTTTATCTGATTGAACAAGGTCACTATCAAGGTTTTCATAATTCTGTGTTTCTAAATTCTGTTCTGTTTCTCCTAATTTAACAAGGTCACTATCTGTCACAGCTGAAGTTTCAAGATCCTGTGTTTCTGATCTGGTTTCCTGTGGTGACTGGTTACCACTGGATGATAAACTGATTTGTCTTTCAACAACGTCACCTCTTGAATCACATGATCTTTCACTAGTGTCTTCAGCTTCTTGAGTTGGTCTGTTTGATTCAACTATTTCAGGATCAGCATCTCTTGCTGTTATTTTATTTTCTAGGTTGTCATTTTCAGCAATAGCTTCCACACCTTCTTCTGACACATTAGAAATTTCTGTAGTAACTTTGTCTTCTGATTTTGACAAAATTTCTTCTTGTGTATCATTCCCATGATCTTGTAAACTTTCACCTTCTTCCATCTTTGTGATTCAAATTTACTCAAGCATCTGAAGTATTTAAAAATATGTATAGCCTAGATACAACTACTCAAATAATATAATATACCGGTAGGCTTATGCAGTAACAAACTGATAGAAACTACCAGCCAAAGCTTATTTCAAATTTCATCCTTTCTTATGATTTTGGGATCTGATAACGATTACCCTAGAAACGTACATTTAAGACAAAGGACTATCATATTCATATAAATTAGGTCTAAGTAACTCTTATCGTGCATTAAATTGAGCATTGCCAAGTTTCTATACTTAGGCACTTATTATAGTCACACAGAGATATTATTGCACCAAAATAACTTCATCTCAAGGAAGACTAGTTGTAGTTGCATTATTCTAGGGAAGATGACTGTCAAGTGGTTAAGCCTGCTGGTAGAAAGGATCTTTATAAATGTGAATTTAAGTATCCTTGTAAAATATAGTTGTTTTGTTTTGTAGGCCTATAATTGCAATTCCAATTTCCTCTACCTCAAAATAATCTGCTAATATTGATACTTTGAATCCAAGCTGTACATTCAAAATTATCATTGCTCAACTACTCCCAAGTAAATATTCTTTCAAAAAAATATTTTTTCATTCATACCTGCTTACATCTTTTGTTGACATTAGTAACTGTCCCACAATGCCCTGTGTTTCAGTCAATCACTTCCTTTATTCTTATCAATATTTAGCTCCCTTTGACCATTTACTCAGTATACTTCAAACAAAGTTCCTAATAAACTAAGAATACCATCAAGAATACATTCCAAATACCAGTTACAAGGTATTGTTGTTCCCACAAATACCTAATAGTGGAACTTCATTATGTAGTGCTTATAAGCAATCTAAATTTGGGCTCTGAATGTCTAAAATGGGATTCAGCAATATAGCATTAACCAAAATAGTGAACACAGGGTATAAAAGTTGCCCCCCCTCACAGCCATGAAAGCAAGTTTTTCAGGCAAAAATCTCACAATGATATTAGAAATTCGGGCAATCTCAGATATTCCGCCCCCCTCGGACATAAACCTGGCTCCTCCACTGCATATTGTGTGCTTATGTATATATTTTATGCAAAGACTAACATTACTATTTTGAGGCTGCTATTCCAATTCTCATAAAAATTCTAAAAAAAATCAAAAAACTTTTTACTTTGCTCCGACGATAGATCGTTTTGTCTTAGTTTCGGCTTAATCTTCAATGAAAAAAAAACGTAATGATTTAAATATTAAATAATTGTTTAATATTAATAACAAATTTATACAAAAACAATCAACAAGATACGACATATTACTACTAACTTTAACATAAAGTCTTTGAATGGCATTTAGCAATTGTGAGTACGATATATAGACACAGCTTTATGGAACAACAATCATGTGCCTGAGGACGACGTAAAACTTTAACCAGTGATTGTTGTTCCATAAAGCTGTGTCTATATAACTTTTAACATAGTTGGACAAAGATATTTCAATGTACATCTTAGAATATCTGAATATACACCATGTCAGGCATATGTTGTACTCAACTGCCTAAAATATTTATTACTAAAAAGATACCGAAAATAGTTTGCTTTGTTTTGCATCATCCTCAGATGCATATAGATATCTTGACCCAACTACATATTATATTCTAGAAAATAATCAACAAATAAGAAAAAAATCAGTATATTTGGCCTTTTGAGTTTCTTTACTTCCAATCATTAACACAGTTTGGAATAGTAATAAGTAAATCCATTTTTCATTACTATTACCCCAAATCTTGTAGCGCCCTAACTTGCAACTTAAAATATGAGGTAAATAAGATAATATACAATCTATAGATAACCTTATTAGCAAAATTCATTTGAAATAATTTTCATTTTTTATGCACATTCAGTGAAATTTTGAATATAAACAAAACTATACTTCATTGTGTGCTCAAAAGCTCAAGTACTATAGTTGAAAGCTTTCATACCAGAGCAGAAAAATTCAGACTTTAAATTCTGACATTAAGTTCAGAATATATGAATTAAGCATAACATCTGCCTATAATACCAATAAGCCAAAAGCACTGGTGGACATTTTGAAGAATAAATCAAATCTAAGTATGCCCACAATAAAAGAATAATCCCAGCTTATCACTGACAGGGGTTGAGTTTCCTCAAAGCGGAATGGCCAGCATTTATAATAATTGTAAATAGGAATAAAGAACTATTAAGCTAATCAATGCTTAGCTCTTATATTACATTCACATATATTATACAAAGCATGAACAACATTGTGAGCAGAACATATACTTAAAATCTATACAGATAAGTATGATACATTATTTTATGATCTTCCATTATTATGCTTTCATTAGGACTATTATTATGTAAGTTAATTTAATTTAATTAATTATATGCACCTATTTCTAAACATATAAATATTATCTATTTCTACAGCAGTACTATGGTGAGCATATACATTTTGAAACAATCAAAACTGAATAAACACTATTTATTTATTAAAGGGATTTTGAAGAGGTTTTCTAAACTTTTGATGATAAATGGAAACCATTGACAGCACTGATTAGCACCATTCCACATTTCTCTCTGACATCTATGGTTTTTGGTTTTCAATTGAAATACATGTTTAAAGACGTCAATAATGACAAAGCTATTAGTGATATAGAAGAACCTTCCGAATAGTAACATCATAAACGCCTTATTTCATTGGAATTGCAACATAGACTGATTGAAAATTGTAATGTTTGATTTGGCTATCAGTGTAACTGATATCAGTGTCCCTGATACACAAAAAACTTCTATACAATCCCTTTAATGTAGAAAGACCATAAAGGATATAAGGTTGTAAGCTGTGCTGCGAATGATCATTTTTATTTGTAAATTTTGAACTTTTCCAGATGTTCATATTATCATTTATGGATTACACTACATTATTTTATAAGCTCTAAATTTTCATCAACAAATCTGAAAACTTTTTCAATAATAAAGCCACATTGAATAAATATCAAATTGTATAAGACAATCTCAAATTTCAAATAAAGAAAAGAAAAAACCTTGAAGTACTATTGAGCAATACAAAACTAATTGAACTAAAATAGCCATTCTTTAATCAATCTAAAGCTAATAAACAAGTACTGTTGATGCACAATTGATTTTTGTTTAGTCTATTTAGCTATTTATTATATTGCTTCTTAGTTATTGCTGGTATCTCTACATATAAGCAGTTTCATTAATATATTCACACAAGAACTTTATCAAACATTGATAGGGAGCATTTTGAAGAATAAGCACTTTGATAATAAAAGTATATAAAGATCTAACAAAATTTAGGATAAATTAAATTTCAAATAAGTGTACACTATATATTATGTTCTTTGTGACCTTACTTTCTTAAAAGTATGTTCATTTTAATTTGATTATTCTATTCAATAATGAATAGACCTTTTTTTTAGTTTTATTTTGTAATATGAATTTGATTTCAGCTTTTAGGTCACATATCATATAAAAAATAACCTGAATAATGCATGTATCTTTGCATATACAAAATATATAATTATACAATTTGGATGAAATACATTTGTAAGTTATTGGGTTTGTGACCAACTATGTTTTGTCTAAATAAACAAAAAAATATTGACATAATTAATGAATTTGAAAAAAAACAATGACATGCATCCAAATTTGTGACATAAATTAATCTGAGCTTTGGTTGTAATAGTTAAAAACTAAAAGAGATGTAAAATTATTTTTATAAAAGCCTTGATAAATACTAATAACTGTAAAATAATAATAAATAACTTGCCTAGCAAATAATGTTTAATGAAAAAGTTTTGATCTAGCAGGTTTACCCCTGTAGTTTTGAAAATGGTCAGTAAAAAATTAAAATTAAGTATAACATAATAAATGGGTTTGTAAAAATATTTTCTGAATAAAAAATGATTAATACTTGTCTAAAGCACTTATATTATCAAACTCTATATAAAACATTAAATAAATAAGCACATTTCTCTAAAATATTCTCTCTATTTTGATTTCTCCATTTTTTCTCGTTCCAATCTTTCTTTCTCCATTTTTTCATTTTTTTCATGTAAACGTTGATCATCACCCCATTTTTTTGTATTGCTTAATGCTTGCGTTTTAACAAAGTCTATTTCACGATATTCTGTTGGTGTTTGATTGGATAGGTTTTTACTCGGTAAACTTTTCATATGAACTGAATCTTTATCTGTTGTCTCTTCTAGAGCTAGATCAAGATATTTCAACTCTTTATCTTCTCCAGGGGGTGGTGGAATACTCTGGACTCCACAAACCTTGTGCAGAGACTGAAATTAGAATTCCAAAAAACTTTATGATCTGATATAAACTTTAAGATAGAGAATTCAAGGTCACAGAAGTCTTTTCTCAAGCTTTTTTATGATTCAGAAACTGTGATAAGTAACAAGGTCAGAAATACAATATGTATACTATTAGAATATGACAAAATAAGGGTATTTTCAGGTATCAACAAATATCTTGGACCATTCAATATACTCTTTCATCCAATTTAATTGGTTTTAAAATATACAGTGTGATCTGTATAATCTGACATGCATGGGGAGAATGTTGAAATACTCAAAGTATTAAACATGTTGGATATTAATATACTTACATTAAGGCCCTCATCATCAGAACTAAAATCACCATCTCTATGAGGAAGTTGAATTGCTGGACTCTTATGAGGAATAATTGGTCGACTGAAATACATGTATATTGTATATTATAACATTCTGATATGAATAGATAAATTTAAGTGTAAAGTCTGTATTAACTATTAACCCAAGAATAAGGGATCTGAAGATATTATGCATGATAGAGGGAAAGAAAAGAACCTTAATTGGATATCTATCTAGATATATTTCAACTTAGGACTTCTGAGTACTCTCCAGTACCTTGAAACTTAAAGGGATATTCTGTTTTTTTTATGAGGACCAGAGCCAAAACTACTTTAAGCTGCTTACTT